TCTAAGACAGATCATCTGGGCAGGGCGAAGTAAAGCTTGAGAGATGTTGATATGGTGAGTGAAAGTAATACCAATGAAGAAGAAGAAGAAAGAGGAGGAGGAGGAGGAGCCTCGTCTGTCACCATAGCAGCCAAAAGTAAAGAGCCTTTCTTCTTTCTCACCATGGCAAAGAGGACCATGTTTTTGGCATCAAGAGTGATTCCCAAGTCAAATGCTTTTCTGAATAAGGAACCCATGCCCTCTCTTAGCACTTTCTCCTGCTGTAGATGACATGATCCTGTATCTTTGTCTGCGTCTTCTGGGGTCAACCTGTTGTTCTAGAATAATCATTAGTAACTAGCACTTCCTTCAAGTGTCAAAAGTGTCCAGGGTTGCTTGATGAATTTTATGGCTATTCCTTGCTTCAGAACAATTGGCACACTGGGACACCTTGTCTCTCTTACAACACACATGCACCCACACACGGGCTTGCTCACACATCTATCGATTTTCTATCATCTACCTATCATCTATCTACTTTTAGAAGTAGGAAATGTGATATCTTAAAATTACATCTGTCAAATCAGAAAGTCTTAAAAATTGCAGAAACTCAATTTACTTTACTTTACAACATAATTACTATATGCACATAGACAAATAAATATACATTATATACAGCATATGTATGTTACACATATAATGATACACATTCAAATATTATATATGCCATATGTATATATTGTATATGTGTGTGTATATATAATGATGTCATCTGATATTCCACTTTTATACTATACTCAATAGTCAATAAAACTGGAGGACTTTATTAGCAGAAAGATATAGTAACATCTGCAGCAATGTCTGCCAGTTTGCTGCTAGCTTGGAGTTCTGTCTGTAATAGATACATTCTGAACAAGCTGGTAACTAGATATAGCCACAGAGAGAAGACAAGTGAGCTTTTATTCGGCAGAAGGAAGCTACATTAGTGCTGTTTTCAAATAGCTTAGAATGGGGATAGTTGTCAGTGCTGACTATTGCAGAAGTTGTTCTCCATTAAACTAGTCTATCAACAAAAATTCTTGAATCATTTTGTCTTTGATGAAGCTAATTACAAACATTAGATAAACAGAAAAAGAACACCTGTCTTGTATTTCCAAGGATAACTTGTATTTAGTAATGGCTTTTCCCTGCTGTAAGTTACTTACATGCAATTGTTAAATATCCCATCAAGTATTATGGTTCCACATTCACATTTCTAGTGCTGAAGGAATTTCGATCAATGATTTCTGCCTAACAAGTGTTGTTTCAAGATAATTTTCCCACTGCTTGTTTGGTTCTGCCCAAACACAGCTGTAAGGTCTTTCTTTCTATATTTGGAGTTGGAGTGACTGATGGCTTACATCCACCATCTGGAAGAGGGTATGCTGAGCAGGAGAGAAGACAGAGGAGACAGGGATGCATGGCTCACTTACATGGCTGGAGAGATACTCTTATTAGAGTCTTCTCTACTCTGTAGCGCTGTCCTGATCATAAATTCAGACTCTATATGCCCATAAGGAGATGCAATGAGTGAAGATCTCTCTTTCTCTCTCTATTCTTTCTCTCCTCCCCCTCCCATGTGTGTGTATGTAACATTTGCAAGTGTCTGAGTGATTGTGTATGCGTGTGCTTATAGAGGCTCAGTGTTGATGGTCAGAGTCTTCCTAGCTAACTCTCCACCTTACTCATTGAGGCACAGTCTCTCAATTGAACCTGGAGGTTTAACAATAAAACTGTTCCAGCTTGCACCAGCGATCCCTGTCTCTGCCTTCTGAGTACCAACACATCTGTACACCCACTTAGAATTTACATGGGTTCTGGGGATCCAAACCCTAGTTCTTATACTTATATGAAAAGTGCTTTAAACACTGAGCTGTCTTTCCTAGACCCAGGGGAAATTATTGTTGGTTTTATCACATTTAATGCCTCCATTTTAGAGTAGATTATGTACTACTCGCCTCTGAAATTAAGTGTTTTCTAACACACTTCCAAAATGTCAACATGACTACAGTAGTTTGAATGAAAATGGTCACAAATAGACTCACAAGGAGTCACACTATTGGGATGTATGGCTTCGTTGGGGTAGTTGTAGCCTTGTTGGGGGAAGTGTGTGACTGGGCATGGGTTTTGGGGTATCAGAAGCCAAAGACAAGCCCAGTGGCACTCTTCCTTCTGCCCGCCAATTTGTATATAAAACTTTCAGCTACCTTCCCAGTACCATGTCTGCCAGCATGCTGTCATGCTTCCTGCCATGACAATAATGGACTAAATCTCTGTACTGTATGCCAGCCCCAATTAAACATTTTCCATTATAAGAGTTTCTGGGGGTTTCGGTGTCTCTTCATAGCAATAAACCCCTACTAAAGACAATGACAATAAAAAGCTCAAGAGTTGTTGAAGTAATGTACAATAAAATAGCTCAATATAATATATTCCATGGTGATCCACAAGAAGACAGGTGTTGTACTCAAGTGTTTGAATCTCAGTTTTATTCACCTTGACTGTAACAGGTACAAATATATATGAATACAGGAGTATCCTAGCTGTGCTTCCTGTTAATGTTCAGGGGGAAAAAAAGTAGTGCACAATCTTTCTTTGTAAAGTAGCGGCTGCATTCTCTGGAAGTTGATGTCCCTTAAAGTCCTCCAAACTCATTTTGATTTTACACATGAGACTCTGTTTTAGGCACACACAATTTCATACAGGTGTTTTTATTTATTTATATATATGAGTATGTGGATGGACATTCAAAGGTCATGCGTGCATGACTTGGGGGTAGTTCTTGAAGCTAAAGAGCTGCATTGTGCATTTTAGGCTTTTTAGCAGATCTGGGGCCTTCTTGTTGAGCAGTAGAGATTTCCCATTGCAATTAAGTGACAACTAAATATGACATTCCCATTTCCAACATGTAATCTGAATGGGGGCTAACTCCACAGGACCACACATTGCTCAAGCCACTAACATAAATTAGACCTCAGTCCCATTTTAAAAAGCCACTTTCTATTTTTTGACAGTTTCATACACTTATAAATTTTAGTTATTTTCACACCCCGTCCCCCTCCTTGCCCCCTCCCTCTTCTCAGCAAGTCTCCATTCTACTTTCACATCTCCTTTTTCTGTGTTGCCCACTGAGTTAGCTAAGGTTTTCTTGCCTGTGTGTAAGTCAGAGGTCATTCCTGTTTTCATTCTAATCTGTGTTATTGGAGGGGCTCTGTGTTTATGTTCTAGTTGAAATAGAAGAATCACAATTCTTTTGGGGAATTGGGTTGGTAGACACTCAACAAAGAACACACACACACACACACACACACACACACACACACACACACACAAACAAACACTTATAGATCAGTAGGGTTTCTTCCAGACTTTAGGAAGATTTAAGTGTATCTTGAAAGTCAGAAACTTGTTTAGTGGTACGGTTATTGAAGTGATGTCAAAAGTTTTCCTTACTTTTGGACACTGCTACTCTCTTTATGTACACATTCGTAAAGCAATCTGGTTTAACTGGCATTTAGAGCCAGACGTTTTGCCACAAGGAAGACTAAGCTCACTAAATTATATTATTGTCATCCCATTTAGTGAGAGGTTGAGTCTTACTCCAAGATTTCTTATGTTTTGGAAGGTTAGATTTTTGTAACAAATGATCCTGATTTATACATATATACCTTTTACTTCTCAACATTGTACATTTCATTGTTTAAATTAAGTATTGCTTACAATTACACGATTGTTGTAGATGATATATAACTCCCATGCTCATCCTGATGTATCAAGGACACCAATTGTTGCAAACATTGTAAGCCACAATTATAGGCACAGGAAATTTGTTGAACTGGCATCATGCATTCCCTGTGATAAATCTTACTTGTAATTAATTTTATAGCAAATTAAATGGTCAGGTATATTACTAAGAAAAGTGTAAAGTATAACTCTGCAAACCATAGAAATATTTAGTGCATTGGACTAATGACAACTACGGAGGAAATTATCAGACAATGAAAAGAAAAGCAGGATGATAAATATCATTAACAACTGTTTTATTTACAGTGTTTGTAGCATCAGCAAGCTCAGCTGCTACTAGAAGCATATCTTTGAATGAATGTCTTTTGAATAAAAAGTTAAACATGAATGTTTGCTTAATTTACAAAAAAATCTCACTATCATCGAAACTTAGAGTTACTTATCTATTTTCTCTGTACACGATGAAGCAAGATAAATATAAGTGCCATTTGTATGCAGTGATGCACTTTAAAAACGTGGGAGGCAGAATGACAGAGTGGAGAGAGAGAGAAAAAAAATAGACGTTTCCTCTCAGTGGTATTTTGTCTGTGACCACTTTTTAAGTTTTCTCAAAGCTGGGACAGGGACTCCTGTGCTCACTACGGACTCCGGGGCATGTTAGTTATCCAGTAAACATGGCCCTGTGTCTATCGTTAGCTGTGAAGACGTAGGGAAGTCACACATCATGGTCGTCACAGGCTCTATGGCTGCGCCCCACTTCTTAGGAACGCCTGCTATTCCTTTAGTATACTTGTGTCAGTGACAAAGTATTCATCCAAGCAGACACTTCTCTGCGTTTTGCAATTTTGCCTGTCGTTAATGCGGGGCTGAAACAGACATGGAGTGACGGGCGTGTGTGGTGCATTCATGTCTGCCCAATGTGTCAGCTACGGGGATCAGTCGGAAGCCAGCAGCAATCACGGGGTGGCGTGGGGCGGGGGCCCCTTCCTCCTCTGCCCGGTGCTAAGGGCACCGGGGAGCACCAGTCCCTTCCCGGCGCACGGGGAGCCCAGCCGAAGCCCCGCCCCCAGAGCCCGAGCCGCCCTCCAATCGGCTGCGCCGCGCGAGCCCGGCCCTCGCGCGTACGTCACAAAGCCCAGCCCGCTTCCGGCGCGTCGCGGGCTGTGACGTCCGCGGCCGGCGTCGCGTCAGGGCTGGCCGGCGGCGGCGGCGGCGGCTGTGGCGGCGGCGGAGGCGGAGGCGGCGGAGGCGGCGGCGGCTGCGATGGCAGCGGCCCCCGAGCGGGCTTAAGGGCTCGGACCCGGCTCCCTCCCGCGTTTCCTCGGGCCGACGCGGCGCCGCGGGCCCGGCTCGCCCGGCTCCTGCTCCCTCCCCGGCCGCTGCCCGGGCAGACGCGGACGAGGCCCGCGCTGGCCGCCTTGACGCGCCCCGGCTCGGCCCCGGACGGCCCGGTTGCTGTGCGGAGAGGAGGCCGAGTCGGTAAGAGGCGGCGGCGGCGCCTGGAGGCTGCCGGGTCCCCGGGCCGCACCGGCGCCCGGCTCCCTGCCACCCGCCGGCCCTATTGTCTGCCTGCGCGCCGCCGCGATCCCCCGCCTTCCTTCCCCTGCCGGGTAGTGGGCTGCCTGTCAACCTGCGGCTCCCTCCCGGCTCCCGGCTCCCGGCTCCCGGCTCCCGGCTCCGGGCGCCCGGCCAGCCGCGCCGCGAGCGGCCTTTCCTGGCTCCCCTTGCCGCCACCCTTGCCCGCATGGGCCCGCCTCGTCCCGTGCCCCCAACCTCTGCTTAGCTTCGCGGTCTTTGCCTCCCAGCTCTGTGTTTCTGTCTCTTTCCTCTCGCTGTCACCTCCGCTAACTTCACTGCAGTTCTTTTTATTTATTTGTTTATTTATTTATTTAAGCCGCTTTCCCCTCTTTTCGTTCCTTTCTGTTTGCCCTACCCTGCGATCGCTCTTTCTCCCTCTCTCCCTCTCTCGATTTAAGGATCTTTCCAGTAGTATGTCTTTTGTTAGAGCTGCTAATTCAGATACTTCCTTCACCCCCATGTCCCCCACAAGAGACTAGAAATCACCCCGTGCCTTTTGAGATGCCTCATTCCTGAGAGTCACTTGGGGGATGAGATTTACAAGGCTTGAAGTTTGATCTTAGGAATTGTTAGCATAACTGGCAAGTTGCCTCTTTGGATTCGATCACTGGACATTTAAGTAACAGCCTTGTATGTTGCACACTTACAAGATTTCTAATTTGAAATATTTATGTTTGTTCCCATTACACCCAGCGCACCCGGCAAACAATCTTAACTTCACAGATGTCATGCCAGAATAGTCTACAGTCCCTTAGCTACGAGCTTATAAACCTGATCAACCCATATTTTTGTGTGTGTGTCAAGCATTGATGCTATTTCTCTCTTCCCTTACTTTGTAGATATTAAAAGAAAAAAAAGGGAAGGCACATTTGTTTACCATCAATTTTTGCCTGTTTTAAACAGTAACCAAACCAATATAAAAAAATAATTTCAGTTGTGTTAGATTTATTTTTTTTTTTTTTACAGGTTTTTGTTTTTGTGTTTTATATTTTTTAGGCTGGAGGGAGTCTAGTCAGTAGTAATGTAAAACATGTTTTAACCATCTTCCTCCAACAATAAAAGCTATATATTTCCTAATTGCCAATTGAATTTTGATGAGACTTAGCATATTAATTATATTTTATTCCAGAACTGACACTCTGAGAATGTATTCATTTTCCTCAAAAACTTAGTAGTGAAAAAGGCCTCAAGTGTTCCAGGAGGCAAGTGTGGCTTAAAGAATAGTAAATACTTGACCTGCGAATGATCTACAGAGAAATCCTCTGCAGTTTTGTTTTTGGTTTTTGTTTTTTCTTATGAGAAACTTTTTATTGTGATTGTGGGCACTATATTGAGTTAGTGATAGAAACTGTACTCTCAGAATCCGGCATTGTTGATTATTAAATGTGAAGTCTTAAGAAAAACATCCTCTGCAGAGGTCTTTTGCAATAGTGTGCCCTGATCTTACAGGGAGATTGGCTAAGACCCTTGGTGGCGTAGAGCATGTCTCCCACCCACATTGTCCATGCTTTTAGTGTTTTATGTATGGTTATACATTAGACATACTAAAAGATTTCTGGAAGTTAAGTGAAAAACCTATAAGTTACTTCCCTCAAGGATTTCAGTAAATAGGATTGTCTTCATTTTTAAAAACAGTATTTTCAACCTTCCTTGGGTAGAACTTTCTTGGGTATGTTTGAGTTAAGGTGCAAGGCATTTTAGCCATTCGTAAGTCATAATGGCTTGTCCCTTCTTTTTTAGCTAGTTTTCCTTTCTGTGTTCGATTTACTTTACTAAGGTTTCCTTCATGTTGCATGCTACCTACAGGTATTGGTAACTCCCTATTTAGATAAAATAATAATAATAATAAAAAAAACTGTGAAGCATTGTAGCTCCCCATGTATTACTTTGAACGTTACTTAAGTTCTGTCTGTTCCTGTAAGCCATATTCCCTGTGCATTTCATGCATAGAATCTAACTTTCTTTTCTCCTCTTGAGGTAGTGGAAAGAAACTACTGAAGAATAGGATCTCAAGATGAGTAAAAAGCCCCCAAATCGTCCTGGAATCACTTTTGAGATTGGTGCTCGTTTGGAGGCACTGGACTACTTACAGAAATGGTATGGAAAATACAGAACTCTGACGAAAATCACCAGACCTGTAGCCTCAGTAAGCCACTGGCTGTCTTAAGCACCTGTCAGTCACACCAGTGTAGCTGTCCCTTGAGTGTCTGTGCACACTGTACTTAGGGTTAGCCTTTACAAACGGCGCAGATTGTTTGCCACAGCACCTTAGACATGTGAGGTTTGTCTGAGGGGCAAACAGAGAATACGGTACCTTTGAGTAACTAACAGCTATGTGAAGGGAGGGAGAGGAGGGCTAATTCACACGACCAGCTTCCTGGCTTTTGATAAAGACCTTGATGTGTCTGTTTGCTTGCAGTTTATCAGATAATGTCAGTGGTTAGGACTCTTGTTTTGATAGTGTCCATGTCCATCCTTCATTATCCCACCAAAAACCCAAATCACATCTAAGCTCTTTCTTCCTTAAAGAGCAGACCCTCAAGGCATGTTCTCGAAAGGCACACTCCCAGAACTGCACGTTTCCTCTCCTTTGGGGCATCTGTGACAGGTGGTCACTGGCCCACAGAGGAATAAGGAATAAGTTGCTCATCCTTACTAGTGGCTCATCACCCTGCCTTAGGCAGATGCCCTGTTGGCTGTCATGGGCCGTTGAGAGAAGCGCTTGACGGTATATGCCTGGCACCGGTGCTACCTTTGCCCCCTCTGCCCCACACTCCTTTGTTTGGAGAAGGGCCTGGTAGCTTAGCTAATTCAGGACCTTCTTCACTGCACACTGCCATTTTCTCTCACTGCATCTCCATTAAAGCCATGATGGACACCAGTACATTTGCTTAGGATCTATTTGCCTTCAGCCAACTTAACAAATTGGCAATGGTAGAGAGGACTCTTGTTTAGTTGTAGTATTGACTTGAGACTAGTCCTCGACTTTTGTCTGCTAACATCTAGCCTTAGACCTCAGCATGTCTTTATCACCTAGCTTAATGGCCTCATTTTGGGCTCTTCTTTAGGACAATTAGAAATTCCGCTTTGAGGCTGAGTGACAGTTATTTTGCCTCTTACCCCAGCTACTCTGTTGCTAGTTCTTGTAAGGGGCCTGGTCCTTACCAGACAGATAGAGTATATAGTGTTTCTTTGAACTCAGGAAGCACCTGAGAAATAGGCTTCATCATAGCAAGGGTGACTAAGAAACATTCTCTGGATTTTTGCAAATGTCATCAAGGATATGTTGGTGACAGTGGTGAAATACTCTCAGTTACAAAGTAGCTCCTTTACACAATGCAGCAGAAGATGCCAGTTCGTACAGAATTGGCGTTCTTGGTTGTGGTTTAGCCAGCATTGGTTTACTGCAGAGGCACACTTCTGAACCTTTGTGAGATATGAGTGTAGAAAGAATCCTGTTTTCATGTGAAACTTGACATTGTTTGTTACTGCTTTTATGAATATTTCATATTCATATATTCTCATAGGCCTCTCAGTCCACAAAGTGCCACTGAGCTAGCTCCTAGCTTTGAAGAAACACATAGTTTATTAGTTCACGCAGTAGTGTTTAGGGACACAAACATAATTTTGGCCTTTATTGTATAAGAAGTTTACTTTTGATGGGGAAATGTTGTCTGATTCAGTGGCTGTTAAATTTTGATTCTGTAATTAAACTTAAAAAATATTTTTAGAGAAATCCTTGTTCATTGTTCTGTGTTTCAGAGTAGCATCCCTGAAAACAGGTCAGAGGTGTAGCTTCTCAAGAGGCTCGTGCTAACCAGGGTAATGTCTGCCGTCTTTATAGTAAGCTCAGGGACAATAGTCTCATTGACACACGTTGGCCAACACTGAAATTTGTCTTGAGTTTAACTTTTATAAACTCATTTATATAAACACTGTTCTTGATGTGGCTCCTCAAGAAAGCCTTTCAGACATACACATCATGCACACACATTTGGGCAATTCTAATACTTAAGAGTGAGGTTTGCTTCTTTCTTAGTCAGTATCAGGAAATAGAGATAGGTCAACCTTAAATTAATATCAAGTGGCTTACCACAGGACAGCTGCTGAAGTGCTGAAATCTACTTAAATTTCTCTGTTGCACAAAAGTTATATGAAGCTTATTGGTTTTTTTAAACAGGTTATATAATTAAACAATTATTCGTATATAATAGTATGTATGTATGTATGCCATCCTACTTGTAAAAGACCATTCAGTATTTCACATAAAGTCTTCATATATTTCCTTTAGTATCAAATAAGAATAGCTCGGTTTTCAAAAACTTGAGTAATTTCATGAAGACTAGAATAGCTAATAGTTTAAAATATACTAAATGTAACTTTGATATTTGTTCATGCATAGTGAATGCTTTTATCATCTATATACATTCAGTTCCACTTGAAAACTATTGGTTCATATTTGATATATATTTGAACTGTTAAGAATTTGGACAGGCAGAGCAGAATTACAAATCTTGTTTTCAAGATATACACTGAACCACATACTGTGGAACCAGTTTATCACATATTGGTATATTTTCTTTTAAAGAGAAGTCTTAGAGGTGCCAGAAGGACTGCTCAATGTTAAGAGAGCTTGCGACTTTCTCATAGGATCCAAGTTCAGTTTCCACAACCCATGTTGAAAGGCTTGCAACTACCTGTAACTCCAGCTCCATGGAATTGGATACTTACTTCTGGGAGTACCTTCACACACACACACACACACACACACACACACACACACACACACACACACACACACACGGTGTGAGTCTTTTGCTTGCTTGGTGCCTGCGGAGGTCAGAAGAGGGTTAAAGATGGCTGTGAACCACCAGGTACCATAAGTCAACCCAGGTCTAAAGAGCAGCAAGCGCTCTTGACTCCTGGGCCATCTCTCTCGCCACCCCACCTCCATACTTACATTAAAAACATGGTGGCTCACTCTGGCAAATTAGGAGGCTAAAGTAGGAAGATAGCAAATTTAGTAAGGTCAGCATGGTTGGTTAGTATGCCTACCTCAGAGTAACGATACCCAAGTTTGGGAATATAGCTTTGTTGTAGAGCACTTGCCTGCCCTATGCAAAATCTTGAGTTCAGACCCCTGTGCCACCCACCCAAACAGATAAACACAAAAGTTGATAATAGTGGAAATCTCAATGTGCCAGTTAATTTAATCTTTTCATGTATAAAAAAGGAAAAGAAATTTGGTTGTGTCCTGTTAATAAAAGGATATACTAAATTCAGTGGAAAGAAACTGTAGCTCCGTTTTTACGGTTAGGAAGATCTGGTTTTACTAGGAAGACTTAGTCTGTTTTCTAGAAAGAGTACCATCAATAGTGCTTCAGCAACCAATACCACATTCTCCTCAAAGTTCATAAAGGTAGCTCTGTCAGCACTAGTGAATACAGGCCCTGAGAAGTCATTGTAGAATTGGACTCTGTATTTGCTTTTGCTATCTACATCTCTTCTATACAGAGTAAACTTACAATTTTAGTTTTTAAATATTTTGTCATCTTATTTAAAATATTTCCTTTTAACTTATTTTCTGAACAACGTGTAAGGACTTTAATGTGTTAGATTAGCTAATGTAAGCAGCTACTTTAAATTTAATTTTTCCATGATATTCCACTATTACCTATGTCTGCTCACACCTTGACTTTGAGTTTTCTCTCTGGAAGACAACATAAGAATACCAAAACAAGTATTTTGGTATAGGAATATATTTGGAGAAAGAGAATATTGATAATAAAGTTATATCAAAGACTCTAAGTGGATGGTTTTTAATTTATGAAGTTACTTATTTATCTGGTAAGTATGGGGGAATCCTGATTTAACAGATCCACTGGCTATTATCTATACAATACTTTTAGGATCAAGTAAAAATATATCTAAACTTGCTTTGAATTCTACAATTTCACACTGAAACACTGGCATAAATGTAAAGGGGAGAGGAGGAGCTGGAAAATAAGCCTCTGGGGATCTGAAGACTTGAGTGTCCAGGCTTTTAATAGACTTTAGTGTTGTCATGAGAGAGAGCTAGACTCACAGGAAAAAGATGGCATTTCAGTGGGCTGTGAGAGCATAGTCTGCTTAAGCTTATCACACCTTCCTATCCCCGTAGACTTGTAGATTGCAGAGCACCTGTACACATATTAACACCTGACCACGTGGAATATAAGTGGTAAGAAATGATGCTGGTTTAACAGTTCAACTGCTGCTGTTTGGTTAGGTTGTAATTCTGCAGTTAGTGATTTATTTATGAGAACACAGCAGATGGAGTGATATGCTGTTAGTCTAAACGAGATTTGAAAGACAGTCAACTTAAAGTATTCAGACGAGCTCTGCTCTTCTGACTTGTGGAATATTTCTATCAGTTCTCTTCTAGATCTAAAGAAAAGGAAAGTAACAGATTAAAACGTGTGGAGACCTCTCCAAGTATGAGAGTTTGCTAGAACAGTTTGAGATGGCACATGCTACTCCCAGGCATTTGGAGGGTTTGAACTATATGGAACATTTGCAAACGTGAATGTTTAAGTTGTTCAGCATCAGAATTTCAATACTTGAGAAAATTCAAGAAGTTAAGATCGTAATAGTGACATACCTTCTAATTGGAAATAAGTGCGCACTTTCTGAATAAAAAGTTCACTTTAAATTGGTGGCTTTCCAGAGGAACGTAAGAGGTGTATAATCTACATTGAGGGCAGAAGAATGCCCCGGAAAATTAGTCATTTTAAAAGTAAAGACAGAGGGCTGAAGGGTGGCTCAGCCTTTAAAAGCTAGGCTCACAACCAAAAATATAAAAGTAAAGAGAGAGATTCTTTAGAAGATGTCAATAAAGGTTTTGTCCTTTTGTGTTTAGAATTGCAAAAGGTTTTTTTTTTTTTTTTAATACTTGAAATATAATTACTTTGAGTCACTGCCATTGAAAGCCTGATGACTGCTGTAGACTCAGAAAAAACAAACAAAAAAACATGTAGTTGCATGTATGATACCAAAATAATTGAATCATATATTAGGTCCATAAATACATCAAAAAGAAAAAAAAATAAGTGGACTAC